TGAAAACAGATTTAATTAAATATTTCAAAAATAATAATGGTTATATTTGAATCATTTTTTATTCATTGAAGCCAGTTAGTGTTTAATGTACATTAACTGGTGCATGATGCCACAGAATTATTAGAATGTCACTTAGAAATAAATACATATGCACAGACACAAAATAAAGAAAAATGGCATGCTTAGAACAAGTAAAAAGTGATATTAAAAGGAGTATACTTTAAAAGAGCCTAGTCAGAGATTGAAATGACAAGGTGGATCATCTTCTCTACCCACTGCCAAGATACAGGGCTGATCCCTGCTGCAAAGGTGCCCATGCCACACAACTCTGCTGAGTAATTTAAAGCAGAGAACAAAACAGCTCAGAAATTTCTCTTAGGAAAATTTCAACCCCCCAAGGTCACCATTTATTTTGTGTGAATTTGCAGATTTTGAAACCTGCATATCAGAGGAGATAGATTCTAAAAAGCAAACCACCAGTGTTCCTGGTATTACCACAAAGGCACACCAGAACTTCAAGTCCCATTTGCTCAACAATCTCAGGAACAGTGAGGGGGAACAGAAGATCCACCAAAGTTACTTAAGATTAGGAGATCGGAGGATAGTTCTTTACAAGTGTCAGATGTTCGTGCAAAGGTTCTGACATGCTGGGTGGCTGGAAGCAGTAAAGGCAGATACAGTGGAGGGGAAGCAACATACTTCAACTGATTATAAGCCATGTGCCTGAAAAAAAGTCACAAGTTCATGGAGTAACAAGAGGCCCACAGTTTTTATGAAGACCAAATAAGCACATGCACTCTGCATGTATCACCTGTGTGTAAGTATGTATAGTTTACTAGGAACCATTGCAAAATTGATAAGGCCCAGTGCCCTTCCCTACCTTACCTTCTGACATATACCAAAGAAGTTAATCATTTTGAAGTTTCTCTGCCAGCTAGAATATGATTCTTCTGCTTTAATAAATATTAAACAGAAAACATAGCTTAGAAAGTTCACATGTTCTGGGTCTTACCATGCTGTCTAGTTCAAGAACCCCTGCCAGTGTGTTCCCTAATGATAACATCCAACCTGCTTGGAGGAGCTTGATAAAGGGCATCTTCTGGGCTCAGCCTTGGAACTACTGACTTGAACACCTAAGACAGGGCACCACAAAAGCTCCCAGGGACAGTATGATACACACAACAGAGAACCACTAGTTTATTTGCCTATTCTAGGATAGCACTTCACAGAATTTTTCAAATAGTAGTTTATGCCAAGGGAAAGCACTTGGTCTGATTTGTCATAAATCTCACTGTGCTCTTGAATTTTCTGAGGCCCCAAGTTTGTCAGAAGGCTGAAGTCTATCATTTTGGTGCCCATTCCTAATCATCCATATTGCATAATGTCTACTGGGAAGAGATTTACCAAATCTGATGTGCATTAAGAATAGAAAACATTTACAATATTATGCTAACCTGATCTATCAGCTTTATGGTATGCTGAAATCATTTTCAGATCTGGCTTTTTAAAAAATGTTATAATTCATAAAGTTTAAAATTATATAAAAATTGTGAGTTTTGAAAACTGCTTTAATTAGAATTTATATTATTCATAATCCTAGTGGCACAATACAAAATCTAATAAGAGTCTACAACTCCGTGGAAAATTTCAACACGAGTTATGAAAAATATTTATTATATTCCATGTATAAGCCAAATTCTAGGTTAAAATGTAACTCATGATATATTTCTCCCTTTTCTGAGGTGAAAGAACACTAGAACTGGAAATGACCAAGTCATATAATCCACTCAAGTCCATTTAGTCACTATCATGGACGCTATTGGACACACTATGGCTGACTAGCCTGGGTTCCAAGACTGTTTGTAATAAAATTAATTGTAATAAAATAAATATATTCCATATTTTTAGGAAAAATTAAAGTAGTAATTCTGCCCCACTGTTATTCTTAGCTGTCTCAAAGAGAAAAGCTCCTAATTCAAACTATTGCAACGTTTTACACTAATTGCTCAGTTGTGAAGAGAGTAGAAAGAGCAAAACACAAACAAAACCAATGTATAATAAGTGCATGTAGCTAGGGGGCTGCCTCTCTATGTTTTCAAACAAACCTAAATGACGACTTCCGGTTTACGTGGCTATTTATGTGTGTGCTTTGAACCTAGGTCAAACAGAAACCTCAGCAAAGCAGAACCAAGAAGCCCACTGGGAAATTGCAGCTCCCCTAATAGAGCTTCATAGACTGAAGCCTGCGTTTTCATTTTCACTACCATGGAAATTGACCTTCAGGAATGGAAGAGGAACAGCAACATAATGAGCTAGTTAAGACAGATTCTTGACAAATCACATTTTTTTATATCTGAAACATCAAGTTTGAGAATACGATTTAATATTTCTGTTATAAGAAATGGATTTTCTGGAACTTGCTATCACGTGATACATCGCATATGACGCCTTTTCCGTAATCTCCTGGAGGTTCCACACTTAGTGATAAGAAATGGTTTCTGGAACTTGCTATCACGTGATACATCGCATATGACGCCTTTTCCGTAATCTCCTGGAGGTTCCACACTTAGTGGATATGATAGGGGTAATAAGCAGAATTTTTACCTAAAAGCTCTTAGGCTAGTCTGTTGCTCAGACCAGAGAGCTATTTCCGTTGTCAGTGAGTCATAAAAAATAAATTTGATGTCTCCACTACATTACCCAAAACACTCTGATGTGATCCGGGGCTTTTTTCTCTAGAGCAGCTAATGGTATTTGGTTTTACATTAGTATCAGGAAAAGTCCATTGCCTGCGTTTATTGACACTGATCATTAGGGCACTGCTGGGGAAAACCTTCATAATTTTTAGAGGTGACTTTTTTTTGAACCTTAAAGTGATCTATTTCTTAGTAGTTTCCATTCATAGAGACTTTGAATTTCCAGAGCTCTCTGAGAACGTCTCTTTTGTCCTCATATGGAATAGTATGGGATATTTTTTCACATTTCTCAATGGTGGAGGATGGACAGGAAGGGGAACCTGCCCAGGGTCACATAGAAAAATGTGATTTTTACCTCCTGGTTCTCCCTTCCTTCTCTTTCTTCCTTCCCTAACTCACCCTTTTTCATTCCTCTGCTACACAGACTACAGATCTAGACTCATTCAGTAGGGCCAGTATTTAAAAGCCTTTGTCGTTGGCTTTCCAGAAAGTGGCTTTAAAATGAAGAATCCGAGATGAATTGGGTTTATTTTCCATCAGAGAATGCAAAATCGGTAGGGGTATAACCGTATTTCTGGTACAAAAGATGGCTAGCTCATCCTTTTTGTAAGTCATTCTCAAATCCGACTTAGAGGTCAGGCCTCCAGTCCAAATTCCTGAAGAACCTATGAAGGGATGGGGTGGCACTACAGAATGTGACGGGCCGCAACACGGAAGCGTTCGCGTGAAAAATTGGCAGGAGCATGAGGTCTCTTGGAGCTTGCCATTGAAAAACCAGTGAATTCTGGAGAGATCAATGAGTCCGTCTCCTCCAGGATTAAGGGTAAGAAACTACGTCCTCACGCTGCCAGTCAGCTAGGTATGAAGGGAGCAAATCCAACGAGAAAAGAAATCAGAAGGGCATCCCTGCCCTAGCGCCTTAAAAGACGCCCATCTTTTGGGCCCTCTAGGGAGCGCCAGGTCGCTGCGGGGCCCTCCCGGCACTGCGGCGCACTGCGGAGTCGCCAACTCTGGCTTGTGGGGCTTTCCCGGCCGGCCGCCGCAGTCCGCCCTCCCCA